GGGTTTGATTTTCATTTTTTTTATGGCTTAAGCATTCTTCTTTTAAAAACTTTGATTACACATGCTTTTGTGTTTTTCGATTGCTAGACAATTGATTTAATAATAATGCATGAGTCACAATACTGAAATGAAGAACACCATTTTGGTACCTAGTACTGAACTATTAGTTTAGCCTATATTTTGGTTTTTGGCGGGCCGCCCCTAAGCAGCTAAGATGCTTGCCTTGGTCCCCAAATTTTAGAGAGCCCTTAGAATATTTAATTTTTTAATATAGTAGGCCTAATTTTTTTATTTTTTATTTTTTATTTTTTATTTTAGATATGATTCAAATTTTTACAGTCCAAATTTTAAAATTTTAAATTAATATCTAATTTTGTTATATCTAAAATTATTCTCTACTTGGTTAAGCCTAAATTTTAAAGGTTTCCATAAAATTTACTCCTTTAGTATAATTGGCCTTTTTTATTTTTTATTTTTCTTGAAAAAATTGGATACCAGTCCCTTTTGTAGACTTATTTAGTGATAAGTCCATCAAAAGGAAACTTGGTTAATATTAAATCTATTTTGATCTTCATTGTCTAAAATACCCTCAGTAGTTATATTTAATTAAAATAAATTTGAAAACTAACAACTCTTAAATTTTAGAAGTTTGACTAATATTAAAATTCTCTCTCTCATATCTATTTATATCGATATATAGAATAGGACTATTTAATTTCTTATATATATATATACTAGTAATTGTCCATGCCTAAAGACATTATGTTACTCGTAAAATATTATAAATATTTGTTCATAAATAAAGGCAATATATAATACAATTTTAAAAATACAACGATCAAATTGACATTGTTCAACTTGAATGCAAAACATACATAATCAAACATTTATATAACAAAATTCATGCTATAACTACTACAATATATTAATTCAAACATCTGAAAAATATAATTATTATTGATCAAACATCCATGATTTCAACATTTTTAATAAAGCTTTGTCTCAAATTTCAAAAAAAAATATAACTATTTATTTTTCTACTAGTTTCTACCTAAAGTTCATAATATTATCTCTGCACCATTTTTTCAATGTGAGTTCGCGTAACTTTTGTGAGAAAATTATCCAAAAGTTTCACATAAATTCCTGTAAAAGTTTCATGCAAAATCATTTTTCATTTGAGTTCAACTTAAATATTTGTAAAATTCAATCGAATTTAATCAAGAATTTATATTTTATACTCAATAGCTAAATTTAGCTCAGTTCAAGTCTTAATCATAATCACGTCAAATCAAGAATTGAATTTAAGTTCGACTCAATTAACACTTTTATCTTAAACCTATAAACTAATTCTTATTTATTCTCGTTCACTGTGACACCATAAATTTTTTTTTAATTTAATTATTTTTTATTATTTTTACATTCAATTTCAATTTTACTTCAACTTAAATACTTGTAAAATTCAAGCAAAGTTAAGTTTAAACAAGATTATATAATTTACACTCGACAATCAAATTTAGTTCAATTTGAATTGTAATCCTACTCATAATCATTTTCGAATCGATAATTAAGTAAAAATGAAATGATTCTTGTAATTTCTAGACAGCAACAAAATTTAGAGGAGAAGTTTCAATCTTTTGATCAATAATCTTAAAATAATCTAAGCCGCAAAAAATTTAAGACAAACAATGCTAGTTCTCTTATTTTATAGATATATCACAAATGACATATATATTATTTGTCTATAATATCATTCAAATATATTATTTTTATTTCAATATGAAATACGACCTATATTATAGTCATTCGACTCATTTTTACGTAAAAAATCTGCATTGAAGGTTCATTTGTTTATTTAAAATTTCTAAAAGGAATCCTTAATTATATAGAATCATAATTAACGGCCTAATTAATACATTAGCGATTAATCTTTATACTAGTCATCATCGGATGTAGAGGGAGAGAGCTAACTGAGAAACGTGTTTATATAGATATATCATAAATTACATATTTATTATTCGCCTATTATATCATTTGAATATTACAGTATTTTTATTTCAGTACGAAATATAACTTATATTATAGTCATTCGACTCATTTTCATGCAAAGAATATGTATTTAAGGTTCATTTGTTTTATTTGAAATTTCTAAAACTAATCCTTATTTATATATAATCATAATTAACGACTTAATTAATGTGTTAGTGATTAATTTTTATATTAGTCGTCACAATATGTGAGAGGGAGAGAGAGCAGACTGAGAGAGACGCTTATATATTTGTGAGATATATTATTCATCTATTATACCATTTAAATATTATAGTATTTTTAGTTCAATACAAAATATGACATATATTATAGTCATTCGACTCATTTTCACGCAAAAAATCTATATTTAAGGTCTATTTATTTATTTAAAATTTTAAAAAATAAACCTTAATTATATAGCATCATAATTAACGACCTAATTAATGTGTTAGCGATTAATTTTTATACTGGTCGTCACATTATATGAGCGAGAGTTGACTGAGAGAGACTTTTGAACTACATGAGCATCAAATAATATGAGAGAGAGAGAGAGAGTTATAAGCGTGGTAAGAGTCTTAGAATTGTAGAAGAAATAAAAGTCTTGTTCAAAAAATTTGGGGGGCGGAGGAGGGATTTTGCATTAGGACCGTTGTATCAATAATCTCCTCAAACGATCTGAGCTACAAAAAATTCAAGATAAACAATCAAGCTACTTTATTATATATATATATATATATAATAAAGTAGAATGAAGTTTGAATCTAAAAGACAAAGAGATGTCCAAATTATTTTGACACAAAACATAAACACATCCAACGAACAATGTAATTTTAACATAAAAGACGATTCAGATCATCTCAAAAATTATAATTTAATGGTCAACAATGAGTATTTAATTTTTCTTTTCCGCCCGATACAGACATTTGTCTTATGCCTCTCCTTCTTATTTCTGCCTCTGTCTCTCTCACGCCTTTCTCTCTCTCACGCCTCTCTCCAAAAGCAAAGTGTCCATGAGTTTTGCGAGCAAGAAGTTCGAGAAACGAAGTGCCCAGAATCAGTGAGAGAGACAAAGTGAACTCTCCAAGTGGGTGAGTTCCATCTCTCAATTTTCAAAGCTTAAATGCTCTCTCAGTTTGTGTTTTCCTTCCAATTCCATTTTTGTGAAGCCAATGTGAGTAGATGAACTTCCATTATTGTGTTTTTGACTTGGGTTTTTTGTTTGAAGCTGTCACGTTGATCAGTCCACTATTCTCTTATGCTATTCCATTCAAAGTCATAGATCTGGAGATTTGGGTTTTAAAAGCGATTAGATTAAAAGCGAAAGACAAAATGGAAAAAGAATTTTGGACCTTTCTGATGTGAACTCGATTAGCACTGGCCAAGCAAGTAAGTCCAGCAAATTTCCCTCTCTATCTCTCACATCTCTGTCTCTCTCTTTGTGATATTAGCAGCCCATCTTCTCCTCTCTCTCTCCTTCCCCCCTCTCACTCGCCCATTCTTCTCCTTTCTCCCACATTGTGTTTCCAACCCCAAAAATCCATCTTCAATTGGAACAGCCACCTAGCCCAGCCCCAGCGCCTCCCTCCACCGTCCTTCTCTCATTTCTCTGTTTATCTATTCCAACATTCTCTAACAACCACTACCACCATGTGTTTGACTAAATGTCACAAAGAGCAACGGACACATTGTTGGCGCCACACACAAAAACTCTCACGATACCACCACTAAGGACCACTATGCAACCACCAGTTGGGTGTGAAAGAGTTTGGTTGTGATGCCGTTAACCCCATATAAAATTTCCAACCGAACCCATAAACTCTCTCTTGCTGTGATCTTATTTTCTTTTTCTTACCGTGGAAAACTGGAAAACTAAATGATATTTTAGTAAGTTGGTTCTTTACTTTCCCCTTGCAAGGAATGTTTTGAATTAATTGGAACTATAGGTTGTTGCTGATGTCTTTCTCTCTTTCAAAAACTGATCCCATTGTGATAGTTGAGCTTGACTAGGTGATCAAGGATGCTTTTACTGCCTGTTTACTCATGGCAATAGATTGAACTTCACATTCTTTTATCATAGGAATTCATTTTGGGAAACATTTGCTCCATTTATGTTGCCTGAATACTCTTCTCTGTTTATTTTAATCTTTAGATTCATTTGTAATTTGCAGCTTCGTACAAAACTTTTCAGGGAAATAAGGGCAAAAATGATCCAAATAACTCAACAGTGGGTAGTTTTTTTTTTATGTTGGGATAGTTTTGTCTTTGATGTGGTAGTAATTCCTCACATTTTGAGTGCATAAATTTGTTGGTGGTTTGGACCCCAATGTTACTGATGAGCTTTTGAAAAGCAGATAGACAGAACACACACACATACTCAAAAATGGATCGTGATTATTCATTGAGTTGTCTTCCTTATTTTGTGACCTTGGGGGTTCCAAACCTTTTACAGTAGAAAGAGAACAAGCCTACATGGAGTTTACCACTTGTTTCTATTAGAGTCGCGAGTCTTGGAAACTTTCAGGAAAACAAAGTGCTTAGAAGAAAGAAAAAATTTCCTTTAAATTCTTAGTGCCTAATTTGTTTTTTTTTTTAATTCCATAGTTGCATTAAGAGGCGTTAATTCTTCTTTTTTCTTTGTTGGGGCGCGCGCGGGGGGGGGGGGGTGTTCGAACGTTGGTGGAGAGGCTTCAAGTGTGTTAGTGTATGCCATGAGATAATGTGTTTGTCATTAGCAATAATGGTGCTATGAGAATATTAATATTTATTGTCATAATCACGATCCATTTTTTTATTGATATTTTTTTTGTTTTAATCCTTGTACAAATATTTGAGTGACTGAATTTGACTATATTTTACTTTTTCAGATTGAATGTTTTGTGTTGTGATCACCACTTGCAACATGTGTAGCAACAGAATATAAGCACGGTGTTCTTTCCGATGTGAACTCAATCAAATCCAAGCAGAAAGAAAGACTGATGGCTTCTCCAAGGTACTCGGTTCCGTTCTTTTTACTTTCTATTATTGTTTCTTTGGCAAGATCAGAGGACGCCCAAGCTCTTTTAGAGTTGAAAGCTTCATTAGATCCATCAAACTCGCTTCAATGGCAAGGAATAGATGTGTGTAAATGGCGAGGAATCAAAGAATGCCAGCAAGGAAGGGTCACAGAGAAAAAATGCCAGTCCGATGACATCTCCAGCGTCACCGCCACTGCGCCATGGCTTGGTTTTTCATTAGAATAAGTAGATATGCAACAATTATTAGTCATTCGATAAATTTTGTTGTGTTCTATTTTTAAATTTAACTCTGTCAAATTTTTTTAATATTGATTGTGGGTCTAAATTGATTTAAAATGGCAGAACTAAAAAAAATAAAAATAAATTGTTACTTAAAATATTTGTATGCTATTGAAAGTTTTAGTATTTCATGGTTAGTACTTGATTTTATGTTGCATAATGTCTTCACATTCAAGTTTTGTCCATTTTCTTTATAAAAAAAAAAAGAGTGGTGGTCGTGATTTATTATTTGAATTTTTATTTTTCATATAGGTAATATTTTGTTAATCATTTATGTAAAATGTAAATGTATTAAATGATACATTTTAGGCTTTCAACTTAATGTCTGTCCAAGTTTATTGTTTGATTATTTCGTCTTCACAATTAATATTCAATGTTTGTTCATTTCGTGCATGTATATGTTCAGTGTTTGATTGTTTGTTTTCAAGAGCAATGTTTTTTTTTTTTTTGAATAATTTTAGACACGGATTATGATGACAGTTTAGGCTTTTAGCTTAGTAAAAGTCTGAGTTTAATACTTGATTATTTTGTGCCCAAAATCAGTATTCGATGTTTTTTCAATTGCACTGTGCCTTCAAGTATGAGTTATCCCTAATATATATATACTAGTCATAACCCGTGCCTAAAGACACGATAAAATATATAATTCGAGCACCCAAAAATTCGATTCCACTATATTAAATTTTTTCAATAAAATATTAAATGATTAAACATATGATAGAAATGAGTGATGTGATGTTTTTAGGGGAGAAATATATAAAGGATTAAACATATGATGGAAATGAGTGATGTGATGTGATGTTTTTAGGAGGAAAAATATGTAAGAGATAAAAATTCAAGTTATTATGTTTTTTATTATATATATATATATAGAGAGAGAGAGAGAGAGAGAGTAACATTAAAAACAAAAAATAGTACGATTCAAATCCAAAAAATAGTAACATTCAAAAATAAAAAATAATAACATTGAATGTTAATATTTGAATAATAATAATAATAGTAGTAACAGGATGAACAAAAAAAATAACATTGAATAATGATATTTCTGAAAAATAGTAGCAAAAAAAAAAACATATTCATCAAAAAAATACTAACATGGAAAAAAAGTAGTAACATACACGACAAAACAATTAGTAACATGTACACCAACTCGATTCTGGAGGCCTTTCTCAAATTTTTGAAACCTTCAAAATCACTTTCTCTCTCTTTTCAGTGTACACCACCATAGAACAGTCATGGATTCATGATTAGACAATCTCCTCGATGGTCTCCAAAGTATGAGGTTCAACTCCACCAACACCAACACCAACACCACCAACTCCACCAACACCAACACCAACACCACCACAAACTATCACTGATGTCAACCACTCTACCTCCTCCGGCTCTGAAACCACCTAGTTGGCCAGAAACATAATCCAAGATTCCTTCATCACCTTTTTCACTAGAAGCGTCGATCATCGGCAAAGATATCTGACTAAAGACAACGACGGCTACGAGGAGCAAAGTCACGGAGACTAGGAGAGGCCAAAATTAAATGAAAATCCCAAGAAAGCTTGGCGCAACATAGATAAGAGAGAAGATGACGAGAGATAAAACAAAGGCAAATAAGATGTGGAATTTGAATTTCAAAAGATTTTCTGGATGTCCGAAGGGAGGTCGTGTATTTATCTATAGTTAATAGGCACAGATAATAGTATACATACAAATAAGGGTGCTATGCTTTTGGTTTTGGTTTAATGGAGTCCGTCAAGGAAACAAGCGAGCTAGAGAGAGAGAGAGAAAGAGAGAGAGAGAGAGGCAGTATTGTTAAATTTAAATTTGAATTTCAAATTTTATGGAGAAAAAATATTTCATTAAGCGTGAATCAATGATAACGGTATGAGAAATTAATTTAATGTTGAATATTACTTTTAAGTCATTAGAAATGTATTTTGAAGTTTTAAAAAAATAATGGATTTGACTAATTATTAATAAAATTAAAAAAGAATTTATCCCCAAATAAGTTTCCTTGACAGATTAAATTTATTATAAGTCCCTTAAAAATGACTCAACTTTAATTTTTACTTATTATTATTATTATTTTGTATTTTAGATATGATTCAAAATTTTAAGGCTCAAATTTGAATAGCTCAAATCAATATCTAATTTTTTTAGATCCAAAATTACTCATTCGTGTGAGCTTTGATTTAAGTTTTTTAACTCTTTTGAGCATGTTTATAGTTGTATTCTATTCATTCACATAGAAAAATTATATACAATATTTCTTGTGGTGAAAATCTACAAAATAGGCTTTTTTTTTGTCTTAATATAAATTTTTAATCCAAATAAGTTATGCTTAAATTATCTATATTATCAAAGTTTAATACTTCATGCGTGCACATAACTCATGAGTAAAGAATGATTCTTTGTTATCTTAATATTATTCTTTTTATGCATATTTTATTATTAAATTATTTGTTTAAAACTTAAATTGATAAAATTTTATTTACTATCAACTAATATTGAATGAATTAACTATATTATCTATTGAAAAAGATTTATTGTTAAAACTTGATCAATATTTTATATTTCAAAAAATAAAAAATAATTATTTTGTGGTGATACCAAAGAAATTGCATTGTCATAGATCAAGGACAGTAAAAGCACCAGTGGTCTAGTGGTAGAATAGTACCCTGCCACGGTACAGACCCGGGTTCGATTCCCGGCTGGTGCAATTTTGTTTTTTGTGGTGATTTTTTGCAAAATTGTTTTTGGCGTTTATAATTCAGCTAATGGTCACTTTACAAATGAATATATTCCAAGTTATTTTACAGTCTTTTTCAGTTCATTGATCATGTAGATAGAACAGATTTCAGTTATCTTTTCTCAAAGGCAGAAAACATCGCCTGGCTTTAATGGATATCTTGAGCTTCAACTTTCTTGGCGTCTCAAACAATGTGTCGGTGGCTATTGTATAGATTCCAAAAAGAATGGATACATAGCCAGATAAAGAAGTGAAAGTTTTGAGCACATGTAAACTTTATTACATCAAGAACAAATACAAAGGAAGAACCAATTTTTACAAATCGTTTCAACATATAATGGGCACTCAGAAATTTTTCCGAAGCAGCAGCAACATGAATCGATCTATGTTGAAGTTTGTGATTCAAAACGTTGAGCTTTAGCTTAGCAGACACATTCAATCATGTCTGTTCTGATGAGTCTTATCTCATATAAAAAACAAAAAAATTAGATGTACACAATCTTATCTCATTACCTCTAGGTATAGAAAGACTACGTGCAATTCGTGCAGCTCCACCGTAACGAAACAAACACCCCAGCTAAAATCGTCAGAGACATAAATTACCCAAAACTCATAAGAAACTATCTCATTATCCAAGACCCCGAAAGAAAAGATCCCCAGAGTTTTGCCTCCGTCAACTCAGTGTTTTGGCCGCCTGCAAACCAACTTCCTTCCCTTCCTGCCTTCCAACCTGAAAAACTGGCTAGTACGAATGATCCTCTTGCCTTTCACTACAGAAAAGCTGGTACTGACATGGAAATCGATCATAAACAAGATTCTGCCATGTTACAACATCCCGACTCCAAGGTTTCGGGCATCTTTGCATCCAATGCAGGACAACAGTACTTTTGCAAAACAGTCCTACAGATGGACTTCCAAATGAAGCAATACGTTAATAATTACATACCTGATTCACTGGATTAAAGAGGCCTGATTTAACGGTTGTGCAGAGTTTGCAAGTGACTATGTGCATCAAGAATTTGCATTGTGACCAAGAATCAGAAGTGTGCATTGTTGAGACAATGCTCTATTACAAAAACAAAAATCTTTTTCTTCTCTACAGTCCACAACTTGAGTCTATTATTTGACATAGAATTCCTCTCTTACGTTTCTAGTATTAGAAACCAATAAGGTGTGGACCCGTATGTGTTTTCCCCACAAGAATTGCACAAGCAAATCACAGGCACATCGTTAAAATGATATTTTCTCTTCCATTACTGAAAATGCATGTCCTTCCCATACAAGCTTTAATGCAGGAGATTCACTTCTTGAACGAGACTGCAGCTTTAATGCTTCAAACTGTTTGCCTTGGTTCTGTTTTTGCTGCCAATACAACATCATCCAGGAATACTCTCTGTGGAAATTCTTCAGGTACAAGACTTCGATATATCTCAAACTGCTCTTCAGCTTCCTTCTTTCTGTCAAGTAGACTGTATATTACTCCCTGCAACAATTGCAGTGTACATAAATCATCCATTTGATGACTGGCTGTCTGCTGTAAACCCTTTAGAAGACAATGTAAAACATTGGAAATTATAAAATATGCATACAGTTTTCCAGTTCTCTCCATTGGGTGGACAATGGACCATAGATCTGTGAAGACCCTGGTCCATTACCGGACCCCTGTCTTCCAAGGGCAATCCTCCCATTACCGGGATATACCGCCCTCCACCAAAGGATTTCGGCTGACCTGTGGTACTTGGGTACTGCTCTCATATGGTGCTTCGGCTTATATGGGGGTGGGGAGACGACTCTTTCCCCGATGTGGGACAGAGGTAAAGGCTACTGTGGGGGTTTGACCCACAGGTCAGCCGAAATCCTTTGGTGGAGGGCGGTATATCCCGGTAATGGGAGGATTGCCCTTGGAAGACAGGGGTCCGGTAATGGACCAGGGTCTTCACAAGATCTATGTCAAAAATCAGAGAAAATTCAAGGAAGCTTCTAGACATTTACATTTTACATATTGATGACCCCGTTTTAGGAAGCTAAACATCAAGGAAAATCTATAAGTGAACATCAAACAGAACCAAGAGTGACTACTGTAATCCTTTTCACCTGACAAAGATAAGGCCGAAAATCCCTAGGGTTCTCATCAATAAGATCTTGAAATTCCTTCAGGCCGTCCTCCAACTCTCCCTGCAAAACAAGAGAAACAGAAAGCTAAAATGAAAAACATTGGATTGTCTGAAAATTAGAATAGGAGCATTGCCACTCCACACATTTTAAAATCCTTTTTCCCCCTTCTTTGGCTGACATCAGCGCAATTTGTAATGGTTCCCATTCAAAGGATGGATTGCCTTTGAATACATTCTAAGAGCACCGAATCAGTTGAAGTTTTATCAGCCTCTCAATGCCTTAATGGAAAAGCAGATTCCCATATTTGAGTATTTGAAACTGAGTGACTGAGAAAGTCCAAACTATCACCTTTACAACATGCATTTGAGCAATTAGTATTCTTATGCTTCTCTCTTCGGTGACTCTTTTCTCTCGACGAGCAACTTCCAGAGCCCTATTCAACATCTCAAAAACAGCTGAGCCCTCTTGATTCTTGTGCATCACCATTGCCAGACCCTATGAAAAGAACATAATTTTTGGGTAAGCTTCATCATTCTCAAATAGAAAAGATGTGATGCAATCCATAAGATGCCCAAGGAAACACAAATTAAAAAATGTGAAAGATAATGGAATTGGTTTTCGATCAATACAGAGATCCATATAGAATCTTGCATTCTTGTTTTAATTTAATTTGCTATTATTAGTATTTTATATGTCCTTTTAATATTTTTTAGTGTCAGGGGTATTTTTATAATTTCGAAAATTTCTGGAACAGGTCATATTTTTTAGGTCAAATTCTAGTGTTGAATATTCTAAAATTTAAAGTCCTAATTCTAGTTAATTTTAGTTTTCTAATTTTTAGGGAATAGAGTTTTTGGAGTCCTAGAAACTTTGGAATTCTAATCTTTTGGAATTAGGATTACTTAGAACTCTATATAGTTGGTGTTACTTTTAATAAAATAAACAAAAACGGCCAAAAGAAAAAAAGGGCAAAAAAGAGATGTATGACTAAGGGAGAGAGAGAGAACGCATGCATAGAGATTTTGTCGGTCAGAAAGCAAGATCAAGGCATAAAATAAAACAAAACAACCCACTCAGCTGTTAATTAGTACCCCCTTCGTTTCCACGAGGCCTGTCCCTTCAAGCAGTGGGGCCTCAAACACCTAGAGAGAGATATTCAGAAATTTCAGTAATTACATGCTTCTTAAGTTGTGTGGTACAATTCAAACCCTAAGTGTGATTCCTAGTCAGAGATACTGTTCACGTTACTTTTCTTAGCCCCATTACTGTTCAAGGGTATTATTCACAGCCCCTAAATTGTCCCTATTTTATTGTTCAAAATTGTCAAGCATCAATTTTGGTATCAGAGCCGAAAAATCTTATGTTATGGGCTTAAATATTGACATGAGGATGGAGATACAAGATTTTGATGGAAGGAATGATATTACAATATTCTCTTGTTAGCTTTCTTCTATTGAGGAATAATTTACCAAGCATAATTTTTCAGCCGAGAGAAGAATAAGGTATACCAAGATGAAACTTGTAGGCATAGTAGGGATTGTCGTCAATCAACACATGACAAGAGATGAAAGATAAGTTTCAACATAAGTATTTGCCCTCAAACAATCATAGCAAGTTGTGCAAACAACTTATTAACTACAACAAGGTAACCTATCTGTCACAGAGTATATTCAAACATGTGAAGACCTAATGTTGAAAAATCATACCGTAGAAGAACCTTGCCAAACAATTACTCGATTCAAGAATGGTTTAAGAGTAAATATAAAGGCCAAAAAACTTGGGCAACCACGATACAACGTAGAGCATGCATTCCAGGTGGCACTTGACACGGAGATGTACCTAAATTTTCTTCACCAAGAAAGTACATCAAGGATTTGGATTCTACTATGCAATTAAAGAAGATTCATAAAAAAATAGCTCAAAGCAACAAACGATCCAATAATTCAAGATGAAGGAAATCAAGTAGAAGAATCAACACAATCTCAAGCAACTACACTACTTATTTATCCAGAGGCCAAGATAAAAAGTGAATATCCAAACATTTTTTTTGTTATGGAGCCTAATAAGATGGAAAATCCAGCAACAAGTATTGAATAAAATGTGCTTTTAGACATAAGTACGTTACTATCTAAGAGCTCTGAAATAGTACTAAAAGTGTTACCCGGTGAAATTGTTCTCATTAATGACTTTTGTTAATTTTAAAGAATTAACACAATATTAGAGAGAAACAGAGAGAGGTTAAAAACTTAACCTAACTCTCATACATCACTTGTACTTATAGTTAACTCACAATAATAAGAATTACACATAATACCCTAACACTATTAATAATTTACACATACTACCCTAATAATCTTAACACTTCCCCTCAAACTGGACTATATATATTATATAATTGCAGCTTGAAACAAACAGCTGTAAGGTGTGTACGACTCAATACTTTGGTAAACATATCTGCAAGCTGATCTTCAGATTTCACAAATAGAGTCGTAATCTCTCTAGCTACTATCTTGTCTCGAATGAAGTGACAATCAACCTCAATATGTTTGGTTCTCTCGTGAAACACAGAATTGACAGCGATATGGATAGCTGTCTGGTTGTTACAAAACAACTGTAAAGGAAGTTAACTAGAAACCCAATTTCCTGAAGAAAAAGTAGTAGCCAAGTCAACTCACTCGTCGTATGTGTCATTGCCTTATACTTAGCCTCAGCACTGGATCTTGCTACCACGGGTTGTTTTTTACTTTTTCATGAGACAACATTACCTCCTAAAAAAGTACAATAACCAGTGGTTGATCTCCGATCAGAAGGAGAACCAGCCCAATCAGAATCTGAGAAACCTTCCACTCTAAGATGTCCATTAGCTCGATATAACAGTCCAAGTCTAGGAGGTCGTTTGAGATATCGCAAAATACGAGTAACTGCCTCCCAATGTGGTACTCTAGGACACCCCATGAACTGACTTACTATACTGACTGCATAGGAAATATTTGATCGAGTAATAGTAAGCTAATTAAGCTTTCCAACCAATCTGCGATATCGACCCGAATTCTCAAATAATGCACCATCATCCATCAATAATTTCTGATTCGAATCCATAGGAATATCAATTGGTCTACCACCCAACAAACCTGTTTTCTCAAGCATGTCAAGTACATATTTCCTTTGGGATAAACAAATACCCTATTTAGATTGAGCCACCTCAATACCCAAGAAATACCTGAGTTTTTTTAAATCCTTAGTATGAAATCGATCCTGTAAGAATATTTTTAACTTGACAATCCCCTCAGAATCATTCCCAGTAATCACAATATCATCTACATAGACCACCAATAGGACATATCCAGCATCTGTCTGTCTATGAAACACAGAATGATCTGTCTGACATCGAAGAAGACCAAACTCTAAAACTGCATCTGAAAACTTACCAAACCATGCCCTAGGTGACTGCTTCAAACTATACAAAGATTTTTTTAACCGACATACACTCTTACCATACTCCCCCTGAGCAATAAACCCAGGTGGCTGCTCCATGTATACACTTCAACCAAGTCACCATGTAAAAAGGCATTCTTGATGTCTAACTGAAACAAGAGTCAATCAAGATTAGCAGCCAAAGAGATCAAGATACGAACAGAGAAAATTTTGGCAACAAAAGAAAAAATCTCTTTATAATCAACACCATAAGTCTGAGTAAAGCCCTTTGCAACAAGTCTGGTTTTGAGACGCTCCACAGAACCATCTGGATGAAATTTAACAGTATACACCCAACGACAGCCAACAGTTCGTTTACCAGGGAGTAAAAGAACGAGATCCCAAGTCTCATTATGATGTAAAGCATCCATCTCTTCCTCCATAGCTTTCTTCCAACCCGAATCAAATAAGGCATCCTGTAAATGCTTGGGAATAGATATAGCAGATAATTGTGAAGTAAAACAGGAGAAGACTGGCAACAAAGCATCATATGAAACAAAATGAGAATTGGGATGATTAGTAATACACGAACGAGTACCTTTGCGAAAAACAATAGGTAAAGAGTCTAAATTACCTGATATACCAGAATCAGAAGGCGGCAAGGAAGACGGTAAGGGCACCTCAGTCGATGGGCGAGGACGGCGAGAGTAGACACGGAGAGGTAAAGTAGATGGTAACACAGTGGGCAGCGGAATGTCTGAAGATGAGGGAAGAGATGGTGGTACAGGAGATGATCCAAAGTCTAGATCCATAGGCTGAGAAAGTGTTGGAAAGTATGGAACAGATTCTTCAAACATGACATCGACACTAGTAAAGTATCGGTGCAGAGAAGGACTGTAACAACGATATCCCTTCTGCGTGCGGGAATAACCAAGAAATACACATTTGGTAGCTCGAGGGTCAAGTTTGTCAAACCCAAGACCTAAATTGTGAACATCACAGACACATCCAAAAATCTTAAGAGTCAGGAAAAATAAGGGCTTACTAGGAAAAAGAACAGAATATAGACTTTGCCCACTTAACACAGAGGATGGCATACGATTAATAAGATGACAAGCAGTAAAAACAGCATCACTCCAAAAATATTGAAAAATATTCATCTGAAATAACAGGGCACGAGTGCCTTCCAACAAATGACGGTTCTTGCGTTCAGCAACACCATTTTGTGGAGAGGTGTAAGCATAAGAAGTCTGATAAATAATGTCAGTTTTACTAAAATAAGCTGAAAAATGATCAGATTCATATTCCCGAGCATTATCAGAACGTAAAATACGAATACCACACCCATATTGAGTTTTTATTTCCTTATGAAATGTCTCAAATATAGAGAATAATTCAGACCGAGCTTTTATCAGAAACAACCAAGTTACACGAGAATAGTCATCCACAAATGACACAAAATAATGATATTTATTAGATGAAATATTCTTTATTGGACTCCATACATCAAAATGTACCAACTCAAATAGACTAGACACACGATTATTGACTCGAGACTGAAATGACACACGGTAATGCTTACTTAGTTGACAAACTTTTCAAGACAAAGATGACACAGAACTAAGATTGGGAACCTGACGCTTCAGATTTTAGAGAGAGGGATGTCCAAGACGACAATGCCACTGAAAAGGAGACAGCGAGGTCTATAAAGCCCGAGTAGGTGAATCAAAATCAAAATAATATAGGCCACCAGCTTCATGCCCTGTACCAATCTTCCTCTTCGTCTTAAGATCCTAAAAGACACAATAAGAAGAATAAAAGATTACAGAACAGTTGCGAGAACAGGTAATCTTGCTAATGAAAGTAAACTAAAAAGAAACTGAGGAACAAATAATACGAAAGATAAGGACATATCAAGACTCAAGTTAGTAGTCCCCAAACCTGAAACTTTAGAACAAGTGCCATTAGCAAGAGTAACACTACGTGTGGAGGTAGTAGCAAGGATCAAAATGTCGTGTCGACACGTCCGAAACGTCTGAAACATTTCGGAATTTCAACACTCCGAAACGAAA